TGCGAACACGCGTTTCTTTCATGCGATGGTTAAAGATCGACATCGAAGGCAGGCCATTTACTCCATCAAGGATAGCTCGGGTTCTATTTTGTCGACCCCTGAGGCAATTCAAGCGGAGGCAGTCCAGTACTACTCCAGCCTATTCACGGCCGAAAATTTCCCCGGTATGGATTCCCTTCTGATGTGTCTTCCGCCTTGCTTGGAAAATTCAGATGTGATCGCTTTGACCTCGCCGATATCGCGGGAAGAGGTTAAAAAGGCCGTGTGGATGCTCGACCCTGACAGTGCAGCCAGTCCGGATGGGTTCCATGGATCCCTTTTCCTGGGAATTTATCCATGAAGATGTTTATCAAGCAACTTTGGACTTCTTTGCAGGCGTTCCGGTTCCACGAGCACTAGCCAGTGCACAAATAGTGCTAATTCCTAAAAGGAATAATCCAGACACGTTTGCGGACTTTAGGCCGATTTGTCTTTGCACCTTCATCAGCAAAGTTTTTACTAGGATCCTTGCAAGCCGTCTAAGTCCCATTTTGCCGAAGCTAATCTCGAGTGAGCAGGCTGGTTTTGTTAAAGGGTGCAGTGTACAGGACAATGTTTTGCTAGCCTTTGAGCTCCTGCAATATATTGATAAGAGATGTCGGGGCTCAAATGTTGTAGTTAAGTTGGACATGATGAAGGCTTTCTACCGGGTCTCGTGGCCTTTTTTAAAGGCAGCCCTTACCAGGTTTGGATTCTCACCCGGGTTTATCGGTTTAGTCTTGAACAACCTGGAAGCTACAAGGTTATCTGTCTTGGTCAACGGGGTCAGCTGTGGCTTCTTTCAACCGACAAGGGGTGTAAAACAAGGGGATCCGCTATCGCCCCTTCTTTTCATACTTGCTTCGGAGGCTTTGTCACGTTCGCTGGTTCTAAAAGTGGGTACAAGATTGATTTCCCCATATTCCTCGGGGTTGCAGTATCCATTAATCTCCCACTTGGCCTTTGCAGATGACATCATCATCCTAGTTAATGGCTCTTCGAATTCGTTAAAGGAGTTATCGAAGCTCTTGAAGGATTATCAGGCAGGGTCCGGTCAGAAAATCAACTACAACAAAAGCTTTTTTGTAACTTCTAAGCACTGCTATAGCCAAAGGACCGCGGCAATGTCACGATTACTAGGCATGCAACGTTCCTCTTTGCCGTTTCGCTACTTGGAAGTGAACTTGTTTAAAGGGCGCAACAGCCATGCTACTACCAGCATCTACTAGAGAAGGTGGACGGGAAACTAGCAGGTTGGCAGCGAAAGCTTCTATCACCAGGGGGCCGTCTTACTCTAATAAAGCATGTCTTATCTTTGATCCCACAATACACGATGGCTTCTTTACTCCTTCCTCGCCAAACAGAAAAGGCTTTGGAATATAAATTTACCCGGTTCTTCTAAGGAACCTGTGATGGCCGCCCGAAAAGGCACTGGGCTTCATGGGGAAATATTTCCTTGCCTACGGTCGAGGGAAGCCTTGGAGTTCGAAATCTGCACACCATACAGCAAGCTTATTCGACCAAGATCTACTATAGCTTCTTGTTGGGGGGAAGTCTCTGGAGCAGTTCTTGACTGCTCGCTACCTAGATGAAAACGTGAGGGCTTCAGATTCGTTAATACGGCGCAGGATGTGGAGCATGAAAGCCTTTGTGGAGGATAATCTCGTATTATCTGCAGAATCCATAATCTGGGCTCCATCTACATATGGGGACTTCACTCTGTCCTTAGCCTACGATTTTTTGCGACCGAAGAGGGGACGTTGTCTTTCGTCGGCCAGCATTTGGGGAAGGTTTATTCCATCTAAAATCTCAGTTTTTATGTGGAAGCTGCTGAGGAGGCTCCTGCCTTTCCCTGATGTCATTGAGAGATTTGGTTACTGTGTGCCTTCTGTTTGTCCGTTTTGTGTTGCTGCAAGTGCAAGCCTGGAGCATTGTCTGTTTGGCTGTAACGAAACACAGAGAGTGTGGACTTTTTTCAGCAGATTATCCGGATTAAATCTGGGCAACTCATCCACCATTCTAACTGCTTGTCATGCATGGTGGCTCCTGGCTGCTCCAGATTCCGCGGTGGGAAGCTTTTCATGCTTGTGGCCTTGCCTTATTCTCTGGTTCTTATGGGTGGCATACACAGATTACCTCTACAATGGGTCTAGGTACTCGTCTTCAGAAGTTATTAAGGAAGATCAAGAGGGAATCCTATCTCATCTCCTTAGCCTGTCCACCTCGCAACATGGGAGCATTTGGATTTTGTCTTCAAGCTGAAGGCTTGATTGCCAGATTTGCTATCCCTTCGCGGCGTACGACACAGTGGGTCAAGTGATTAGCGCCGCCATCAGGACGTCTTAAACCTAACACCGATGCTCTCCTTTCATCAGTTGGTGCGGCGGGTGGGGCATGTCTTCGAGACTCTCGGGGCCTGTTGGTTGCTGGAATATGCTTCTGTTTGGATGTCTCTTCCGCTCTTGAGGCTGAAGTGCTAGCTCTGCGAAAAGTCCTACAATGGTGCGACACTATGGTGTTACGGCCATATATCATTGAAGTAGACTCTCTTAGCTTGTCCGTTTGGCCTCCTCTTCGGACGCGATGCCATGGAAACTCCAAGAAGCTATGTTTTACATCCGGAAGTACGTTGCGGCTTGGGGTGCAGTGATTAAACATTCTTATCGGGAAGCAAACAGCGTAGCAGATGCCCTTGCGGCAGAAGGCTTGATCGCTAATACTCCCTCGATCTTTCACTCGTTTAATGCTTTGCCTACCAAAGCCAAATTGACTCTCTTGTATGATTATAGGGGGTTTGCTGCCCGCCGAACTATTCCTCAATAAAAGATTCTTTGCTTTAAAAAAAAATCATTTCTTTTAGATTAAAGACATTTTGGAAGTCCAAAGGTCATAAGCATGTTGTGATAAAATGAAGAGGATGTAGGTTTTGGAAACCTACAACCTTAGGGGGCACCAATAGGAAAAGTTCAAGATGTACGACTTTTGGCTCACCTTACTCTATAAATAAGTAATACTACAGAAGGCCCTAGATGCTAGTCAGGCACCAAGGCGGCCTAGTAATCCAAGTATATTGTCTCTACTTTTTTTCACTCAGGGCTAAGAGTTGTTACATTGTTATAATCCCCCAAAGTAGTCAACATCATATATTAGATGGTTACTTGACTACTTGAGTACATGGTTGGAGAAATATAGAATACGAGTAGCCGAGTAGGCAAAAAAATCACTCACCACAGTTGAGCACCAACTCGGCCGAGTTAAGTGCTCAACTCAGCTAAGTCGGCGCCTAGGGTGCCTAACCGGCCGGTTAGTCGGTCAACTGACTAAATGCCGCCTAGGGATAAAATCACCTTGGCCTAGGGTAGCCTAGGCAGCTGACTAGGCCAATTTTTAAACACTGATTCCTTAAGCTTGTAATAAAAAGAACATAAGAGAAAATTGTTGTTAAGCTATTGTAATTTCAAAAAGCCATTCACGAATTCTAAACTTCCAAGAATTTCCAAAACTCTATCCAGTACTTTTCAAAAGACACTCACTATCCAACAGCTTGGTGAACGAAAACGGTTGGGGTCTGTCATAGCTACTTTCTCAACCTACTAAAGTGGGGTCTGTCATAGCTACTATACTTTCTCAACCTACTGAAGCATAATAAGTCAATACTATCTCAACCTACTGAAGCACAAAGAATGAATACCACCCCCACTGAGACTAAAACCCATAACCTCCCATTTGGGAGAGCCACTTCATGCCACTTGACCACAAGGTCATTGGCACAAAGTAATTAACCTAGATGGGTTGATTTGCACTATTGTGAAAGTTAAACTTTCACTTGTATTCGTAGTGAAACCTCCAAGTATTAACGAGCAAAGTGAGGTGGAAGTTCCCGATCGACTATAAAAATATAATCTCAATTTTCATATGCCTTTCACTTTATTTCTATTAATTTTTATGAACTCAAACTCACCCTCCACCCTCAAGACCTTCTGCTTGTCTTGAACCAACAACGAGGATGTTTTACTACCTTAGAGCTAATTAAGAAGTCTTACTGCTATTTTTACTTGTATTACTATCACTCTACTAGCTTTTATTAGAAATATGGTCATTTCAAGCATGTCTGCAACTAACTAACTTTCCTCAAGATTAATGTTTTCTAAATTATCTTCCTGTAACAAATTTCTCATCTAAAAATACATCTATGTGATATAACTACTTATGTTGTTGTCCTTGAACTAATATCTATACTAAAACCTAAAGCATAAGCTTACTTGAAATAGTGTCTTTAAAGACTTCCGTTTTAAGACAGGTTATACTAACACTTGGTAGATACTATACATCTATTATATTCTATATTACGAAACGTACATTCTAAGACTTTTTAATTTGCCAAAGGATATGATTTAGCCAACTAAAAGTCTTAAAGGGATCTAATCAAAGCATTTATAAAATCCTTATAGAACTAGTATTTTTAGTTGATGAAATAGTGCGAATAGAAACTAAACTTTTGTTTGACAAAGTATGTAAAAATATAAAGATTGTTTCAACAAGAGTTCTCTTCTGTTCAGCTTCTTAATTGCTATCTCAATCAAATCATCCAAAGTAATGTCCGGTGATGATCAATAATTATCCTTGGAAAACCGGGGATTAACTTGGCCTGCAATTTCATAAACAATTGCATATAAGTAAATTATTTAAAGACATAAATAAAACAGAGTCAACTATTTATAAACATATATAAAAGTTAAAATGTACATATAAAAATATTGATTTGTGTTACCATGCATGAAATTTGGATTTAACATCAAGCATCGAAGATGAGGATCAATTGGTAAGCCAAGTTCTTCGTACTTAGGATCATGCAATCCATTCATAATGGGCCTATACAAACTTATAATAATTAGGAAATGAGGATAAAAAAAAAATTAAAAAAAAAAAAAAAAAAAAAAAAAAAACAATTAATCAAGCATATAAAGAGATGTTGTACGTACATTGAACCACTAGAAACCTCTGGTAAAGTGTTATTTGGAGTGTTGGTGGATAATCCCTGGTAAATTATTGACTGCAGACTTCCTTCTTGGCTGCTCTTATTAGCAACAACTTCAACCTGTTTAAAAAAAAAAAAAAAAAAATGGCAATATAATAAAATATAATTTTTTGGGGAATTTTTTTAAAAAATAAATTTCAGATTAAAAATAACCTATGCCAAAAATAATTTCTATTCTTTTAAAACATTCTAATAAAAACTACTATAAAACTTCAAGTTATTATATATGTATTGACTAATAAAGTTACCTGGTTAGTGTGGTTTGATCTTTTCCATTGGGATGTACTTATACCAGAATAATGTTTGGAACTAAACTCCTTTATAAGAGCATCAATAAACATAATTTAAAAGTTAGTATAAATATATATCATTCAAAATTTACTACATATATTCTAACAATAATAGAAAAATCTATTTTCTATACATTACGTAAATATTTATAAACAGAGTCAAAAGAACATCGTTTAAAAGCCATACGATAGGAGACAGGTTCGGTGGATTGCTTGTTGGTGGCATTGTTGAATGGGCATTTTCAATTTGAGCCTTAAAATTTTAAAATTAAAATAAAACCATTAGAAAAATTTTATAAAATTAAGAACAAATTATAATGAAATGGGGAAATATATACCATCACTGGTTGGCTTGTGCTTCCAGTAATATGATATAAATATTCGTTAAAAGAGTTCAACGAATTCATTGGAGAGGGAATAGATCATATCATTGTAGTGGGGTGCCCGAATGGTAATGATTGTATAGGGACTGTGCCAGTCAGTCGTCCCTACATATATACCATATTATTAAGAATTTAAAGAATTTAAAACACGTAATTTTAAAATATAAAAATAAATAAATAAGTTTTGTTATGAAAAGTAAACAAACCTCTGAAATTTTTGGAAGAGGACTTTCAGATGCAGAATTAGGCATAACCCTAGTAATAATGTTTCAAAATAATTTCTTTTGAGAATCACTTTATTCTTATTTTCAATTTTTTATATAAAAATAGCTATGACTATCTATTATACAAGCATCTGTGTACATGTATTTTCTAAACATATGTTCCATTTTATTAAAAATGAAGATAATTTAAATGCAAATTATTTATATATAATCTTTTTTAAGTAATATATACATACGTTCAGTAACACTATAATTCTTTATTTGATATGTTTATAAGTTACAATTGTTCATATATTTATACTATGTCATAAATATCAAAATCTTAGCTATTATTTTAATTGAATTATATCACAAGATATATAAAGTTACCGAAACAATGAAATACCAAGCACATATTCTATCACTTTTGAGATGGATTGAGAAAATTTTATATAAACTACTGATCATTGTATATATAAGAAAATGAAATGAAGAAATAAATTAACGAAAAATAAAAGAGAGAAGAATTTTTTTTTTTAAGAAAAAACAAACGCTAATCTTCACATTAAAAAAAAAAAAAAAAAAAAAAAAAAAAGTAATGGTAATGTTGGTAGAAAACGCTAATACCAGGATTGTAAGAAAATTTCTCTCATACTTTGTAAAATATTTCTATTCATGAACTTTTCAACTAGATTTTGTCAAATCTAATTATATATGATCTACCCATTTCAATATCGAATACAAGTAGATCTATTAAATATTTTGTGCTCAAACAAAATAACTACACAACTTCATAAAAGAGATAGATCACAATTTCAAACTCCTTAGATCTATGAAAAAATTGAGCGCACTATAATATCTAATATACATGAATTTGTTGAACATCTAGTTAATGAATTATTGTCAAAATCAGAACGACCTACTACCGCAAGTTCAACAACAGAGTTTATAAAAACCATCTTTTACATAGATCTATCATAAATATTTTTAAGAAGGTTATTTTTTGTAATAGAAATGAAAACTCATCATCAAGAGAGAGAGAAAGAGATATACCTTGGTGCTTCTGATTCATATGTTGAATATATGTTGGCACCATTGATGAAATAAGACATTGGGAAATCTTGCAGAAATTTGTGAGACTGAAATGAATCTGAAAAACTAAAATCCTACCTGAATTTATCAAAGAAGTTCGTATTGAAAAGGCAAAAGCATCATAATTACTTAAAGAGAGAAAGAGCGTGACTGCTTAACGTTAAAGTGAAAAAACGTAACGGATACATGAAAAGTTGATGCCTGAGTTAATTGGCGTGCTTCTTCAATATCTTCCCTAATAGACACCAAATGTCTCATAACGATATATAATGTTGGGAGGAAGTAATATTTTAAAAATAAATTAATACAAAGAAAAACTTAATAGGAAGAATCATAAATTTTTACCGTGTATTTGGTGAGGTTATACAATCTCTTTTTTTATAAATTAATACAAAGAAATACTTCATAAGAAGAAAAAAGTATCGAACTTGGAAATGTACAAATGAAATGCATAAATAAAGCAGAAAAATGACTTTTATTTTCATTGATTATGTGTAAAAATGGAGAAAATCATCTGATACTAGGCTACTAATTAAATTTCAAAAGATTGAGGCATTGAGACGCCAAATATTAAAATTCTATAATTTTAATGGAAAAATTCCATATTTTTAACTCTCATACCACCATATGATGGTACAAATTTAGAATTACTATTATTATTTTCTGAGTACAATTGCTATTATTATTCAGTCTTATTGTTATTACCAAAATATTCCTGCATTTTCTATTTTGCATTCAGGCATTAAAAAAATTCCTTGTTGATACATATATTAATAGTTGCTGATATGGATTGTTTTAAAGATGATTGCTTTTAAAGTAAATATTTAATCACTGATACATATTTACCATTTTTAAAATATTTATAGTATTTAGTACTAATTCAATGATATATAATAATCTACAAAGTACCAACACCAAAATAAGATAAATAATATATATATATATATATATATATATATATATATATATATATATATATATATATATATATATATATTGGACTGAATGACGAATAATAAAAGATTGATGATCCTTTCTCTGTATTTTTGTATTCTCTCTACTTTATTATATAGAGTAATAGACAGTGTAATTTTAGGATAAGAACAATACAATGATTCACACTAGGATATGTTTCATTTCAAAACGTGCTATCAGATTGTTCTAAATCAATTCTCAGTATATAGAATAAAGAATTAATTGCGCTTTTGGTCCTTTGACTATTGGGGTGCTGTTAATTTGAGTTCTTGACTTTCAAAACTCTCAGTTTGATCATGTATCTATGCAATTGTTAACACATTTGGTGCTGCCGGCCAATTTTCACTGAAAAAACGTAATTGCGTTCGAATTATTTTTTGCAGGGTTGCAAAAATCCCGCCTAGGCACCGAGTAATCGCCGCCTAGGCGCTAGGCGCCCCTAAGCCGTGGCGATTTCCCCCCTAGGCTCCCGCCTAGGAGACCGGCCGCCTAGGCGCCCGCCTAGCGCCAAATTCGGCCGCCTAGCGCCTAACTCGGCCGATTACGCCGAGTTTACTCGTCAATTTCTGTCGAGTTAGCCGAGTTAACCCGATCGACTTGACCTTGCTAATTTTTTTCATTTATATATATATAATTTTGTTTTTTGAAAACCATAGTTTTGATGTTATGACTTATGAATTATCATTAATTCATTTATTTGGATGTGTTATTTGAATAAATGTTGAAAACAACCTCATTAAAATTGTCAAACTGCAAGTCTACCACTGTTTTTTTGGCGCCCGCCTAGCGCCGCCTAGACCGCTTAGGCGCTAGGCGCTGCCCGGGCGCCCGACTAGCGCCTAGCGCCTACTGCAACCATGATTTTTTGACGAGGGTAAAACGGTCATTGCAAGGAATAAAAGGGAAGGGGGGTAGGGGGGTAGGGGGGGCAGGGGGGATTCATCCGGTCGCTGGGCATTCTACTTGGTCAACTATCCTAATATCCTAAATCAAATTTTACCTAATTATACTCTACATTACACTGCGAAGAACAATTAGACCTTCGTCCTTCTCATACGAAAGCAATGAATCCGTCTACTGCGTCTAGACATCATCTTCGACTAGACTTCGTCTACTGTGTTTGGACATCCTCTAATGCGTATGGCTAATTTGTATCATACAATGCATAATTCATCGTCTACGACTGAAATGGGTCTACAACTAAGTAAGAAATACATTGTTAACAATTAAAATTGGATGAAATTGATAGTGTATGACAATATTTGATGTTTGGGTTGAGTGTTTTGTGTGTGTGGAGTAGAATGGCAATAAAGCATATCTGGGGTTTGACGTGTGCTTTATATATGAATAGAAAATATAATGTACTCTTGTTTGTTCTGTGGAGATCATTTCTGGTATAGTTTTTTGAATTATTTGTGTTATTGTGTTGTGTTCTGTGGGGACCACCTATATTTATACTTTTGTCAATATGTTATGTGCATAAACTAGGATTATGAACCATTTCAGTATAGCTTTATTGTTTTGTGTTCTGTGGGGACCACTATGTTGACTGTTGCATGTGTAAATGCTTTCTTTATAGGGATGGAGTTGGACCTTTTTCAATTTTCCTTTTCCATAATGGAATAATAAATAAGGTTGGTGAGGTTAAATATTTGGGTGGTGATGTAGAAGTGTATGACATAATGGAAGCTAAGGAAGTTTGTTTATAAGTGTTGAAGGATAGGATAAAACATTTATGGCATGTTTGGTTCATGGAATAGGTTAGGAATGGAATAACATTCCTTGGAATAGACCTATTCCATCGTTTGGTTGGATCATTTTGTCATGGGAATAACATGCCTAGGAATGAGCTATTACCTTCGCAAGGGGAATAGTCATTCCTAGGGGGACCTTGGTATTAGCTATTCCCATGTCCTTGGGAATAGCTTTTATATCACAAATACCAAAAATACCCTTTGCACATTATATAATATTTATATTTATTTAATAAATATAATATATTATATAAATGTATATATTTAATTAATTATAATTTTTATCCATCAATCTATCAATAAATATATTATATATATTTAAATAAATTATTTGTATATATATATACATACATATATATATATATACACACACACACACACACACACACACATTTTGCAGCGTTTGCAATTAGCATTTTGGGAAAAGAAAAGTATTTTCTCAAAACACCCTTGACATCTTATTTTATATATATATATATATATATATATATATATATATATATATATATATATATATATATATATATATATATATATATATGTGTGTGTGTGTGTGTGTGTGTGTGTGTGTGTGTGTGTGTGTGTGTGTGTGTGTGTGTGTGTGTGTGTGTGTGTGTGTATTCAAATGAGGACAAGTATATTATAGAGGACTGTGAGGACAGATGTAGTGTGTGCCATTAGTCGGTATGTTGTGTGCATGACCGAATGTAGTCGTGTGCCACAGTTTGTATGTCGCATGCTAGATTTGTTAATTTATAGAGCCTGGGTTCGAAACCTGATGTGTACATTTATTCTTGTGTGCCATTATGTATTAAGTTGTGTGCCTGATATTAATTTGTTG